ACACTGAACAATACGCGTCAACAAGATCCAGGAAGATATTTCCACAAAATATTACGGCATTTCCACGACCAAACAAGACAACTGCTCTTTGTCGTCCGACCTCTCTCTGTAACAAAGCCCAGAGATGGATCATCCGCTGAATCTGGGAGGAGCCCCGAGCCACGTAGAGACCGTCAAGATGTGACGGTCTACAGTGTCCCCCTGTGGATCGATTTTAAAACTACACCTCAAATCCAACATAAAACAAATTGTAAATGTGTGAACATTCTCAATGTTCGTCAAGAGATTGCAAAAAACAGAGACTCAAATATTAAACTACAACGTTCACCCCACTGATTACTGACATGTATATATTGTATGAATGAAGTGTTTTTTTTTTTTTTCTAAAACGGCCTATTTTTAAATATTAACTGAAGTTTTAAGCAAATCCTATAGCACTGTCAATGAGATAATGGTTTAAGTCAATACAGAAATGCAATTGATTTAAAAAAGAAAACTGAATTGCAACTAACTGCAAATATTACATGGACGGTTATATTGGAGAAACACTTTGCCATATGACATATTGTTCAAGAGTTGTTGCAAAATATATTTTTTAAAACTCTGCATTACAGCAAGGACTTTTTTCATTTTTTTCTGAGAATTCAAGGCAAGTTTAACTGCAACAACACATGTAGTTCAGCACCACGGATAGCGACTAACACACAGATTGCAAATCAACAATCGAACTTTACAGCAATGTACAAATCATCAACAAATGAATATCAAGCTGAATAACTATCATTGCTGTTCTTGATATAAATTCCGTCTTAAAGGTCCCATGTCATGGCCATTTCTACTGATCATAATTCCATTGTTGAGGTCTACTAAAATAAATGTATATTGTGCAATTTTCCAAACTCACATTGGTTTCTCATACAGCATCTCTGTATAGTATGTGTATTCACTCTCTGTCCTAAACGGCTTGTTGGAGCTCCTGCCCCCCACCTCCCTGTGAGCCCAGTGGCTGTCTGCGAGACAGCGAGACACAGCGAAACCCAGCCCGAAACACACACACAACCGCAGCCTGGCTGGGAGTTTGTGTGTGTGCCCAGGCTGAGTTCCGCAGTGTCTCGCTGTCTTGCCGACCCCACACCAGTGAGCCAGCTCACAGTGTCCCGCTCCTCGCAGCAGCGAGCCTCGCAACGTCCCGCCGAGTGTGTGTGTGTGTGTGTGTGTGAGGAAGTCCGCGGATTGGTCCAAACGTAACGGCTCCGAGGACGTTACGTCACTATACCCGAAATACGTCACTATTCCCAAGAAGTAAACAATGGACAAAGAGAAATCCCCAACGAGGCGTTCTGAGGCAGCATAGACAGGTCTTTTCTGTTTTAGAGTTTTACTCGCTACAGGGTGTACTTTGAGGGTTTGTGACTCTGCAGACCGTTTACATGCATACAAAGCTACATAACACACAAGGGGACGGGTAATAACCAGAAAAGCATGACATGGTACCTTTAAATAAAAAGGGGAGTCCATGTACATGCCATGACCGCACACGTCTCTCAACTGACTTGGTTAAAAGCACGTGATCTCGTAGCCATTTTCTCTATAAACAGAACATGTGCAGCAACGCTTTTATGTATTTAATGTCTTACCTTGTCTGTGTTGGGTAAAGTCTGAGTTCTGGTAAAAGTGTCTCCTCCGTTAATACTGATCAGTTCACCATCTACAGGCGGAAACGGTCCGGGGAAAACCACTACGTCACTCTTCATTGTGTCTGAGCTGAAACACACGTCGTACTGCTGAGTAGATTTAGAGTAAGACCAGCTCCCGTCAGGGTGGGTGGTGATCATTGGGGCGCTGTACCTGCTGAAACTGCCGTCTGTCCTGTGGCATTTGACAGCTATTAAACTGATGAGGCTCAGCAGAAAGATCACCGACACCGACACAATGGCGATCAGCAGATACAGGTTCAAATCTGAGAAGCTCTCCTCCTTTATGGGCACATGTCTGAACTGAGTCTGGATGTCAGCTGTGCTTTCAACCACCACCACATCAATAGAGACAGTAGCTGACAGGGAGGGTTCTCCGTTATCAGAAACCAACACCACCAAGGGGTGAGTTATCAGGTCATTGTCACTCATTCTCCTCTTAGTCCTGATTTCTCCGCTACTGGTTCCGATCCGGAAGAGGTTGTTTCCTTTGGGCTCAGAGAGGTGATAAGAAAGCAGCGCATTGTATCCAGAGTCTGCGTCTACAGCCCTGATCTTTGCCACAAAGTATCCCGCCTCAGCAGAATAGGGGATGCTCTCACTGTTAACGGAGCCGTGCTCAGAATAGGGCGCGAGAATTGTTGGATTATTGTCATTTTCATCCAGAATTAAAACGTTCACAGTCACGTTGCTGCGGAGAGGAGGAACACCAGAGTCTGTGGCCTGGACTTTAAACTGAAACGTGTTTAACTCCTCATAGTTAAAAGACTGCAGGCTGACTATATCTCCAGTCTCTGAGTTTATGTTCACCATTGTAGAGAGAGGCAACGAGTTACTGTTACTTTGTAAAATGGAGTAGCTCACCTGACCATTTTGATTGTTGTCTGCATCAATAGCTGAAACGGTTTTTATTACTGCTCCTACAGGACTGTTTTCTTTCACATAGACATTGATTATGTTTTCTGTAAATAGAGGTTTATTATCATTCACATCTGACACGTGCACATTAATGACGCTCGTGCTTGAGAGAGGTGGGCGGCCCTCATCAGTAGCAGTGATGCTGATGTTGTATTGAGACGCACTCTCTCTGTCGAGAGGACCGTCCACCACCAACGAATAGTAATTCTTGTAATTTGACTCTAATTTAAAAGGAACATTATTGGACATTTTACAGTTCACTATCCCATTTTTACCTCCGTCTTTATCAAATACTGAAACAAGTGCAATGGCAGTGCCTAGGGCTGCATCCTCCTTCACGGTGTTTAACAGAGAAGTCACTGAAATTTCAGGGGCATTGTCATTGACGTCTAAAACTTCAATCAATAATTTTGCATGTGATGTCATCGGTGAGGAAGCTCCGTCACTTGCTTGCACTCGAATCTCAAAGGCATTATTTTCTTCAAAGTCTATATTCTTTATATTTGTTACAGTCCCGGTTTTTTCATCAATATCAAACAGATCAGTTTGTTTTCCTCTGCCGGTTTTACTAAATGAATAAAACACTTGTCCATTTTGACCTGAATCTAAATCAGTAGCATTTAGGGTTATAATCGATGTACCTACATCTGAATTCTCATACACACTGGCTTTGTACAGAGTTTGACTGAATACAGGAGGGTTATCATTAATGTCCAACACATTCACTATTATAGTCATACTGCCTGATTTAGCGGTAGTTCCCCCATCAATAGCAGTCAGTATGAGTCGGATTACAGACTGTTTTTCTCTGTCTAAAACTTTCTGAAGCAGTAATTCGGGAGTGACACTATTTCCTTTATGTGTAGCGAGAGAGAAATGTTCATTTTGGCTAAGCTTGTAGCTGTTTATAGTATTTCTACCAACGTCTGCATCGTCAGCGGGATTCAGAGGAAGTTTTACCCCTACCGCTGTATTCTCTGTAATATTGATTTCCTGTGACTTGCTTAAAAATGACGGTGAATTATCATTCACATCTAAGATTATGATTTCAATCCGGTACAGTTTTAAAGGGTTATTAATTACTGCTTCTACACTGAGGGAACATTTGTTCTCGTCGCCGCAGAGCTCCTCTCTGTCTATTCTCTCGTTAACGTACAGGGCACCAGTCTTTAGATTTACCTCGAAGTATTTCCTCTTAGATCCTGCAACGATCTGAAACATGCGGGGCTCCAAATCCTGGACATTGATGTTCAGATCTTTAGCGATATTTCCCACAACAGTCCCCAGATTGACCTCCTCTGAGACGGAGTAAGACAGCTGCCCAGACACCGCTTCCCAGAAACACTCCAGCAGCACGACCAGGAGATATATCCAGCTCGTTCTGCTCGGCAAATTCATTATTCCATACATCGAGAAGGAGCATGTAGGCAACACTGAACAATACGCGTCAACAAGAAAATAAGATCCAGGAAGATATGTCCAACAAATATTACGGCATTTCCACGACCAAACAAGACAACCGCTCTTTGTCGTCCGACCTCTCTCTGTAACAAAGCCCAGAGATGGATCATCCGCTGAATCTGGGAGGAGCCCCGAGCTACATAGAGACCGTCAAGATGTGACGGTCTACAGTGTCCCCCTGTGGACCGATTTTAAAACTACACCTCAAATCCAACATAAAACAAATTGCAAATGTGTGAACATTCTCAATGTTTGTCAAGAGATTGCAAAAAAACAGAGACTCAAATATTAAACTACAGCGTTTACCACACTGATAATTGACATATATATTGTATGAATTAAGTTGTTTTTTTAATACAGTCTGTTTTTATAGTAACTTAAGTTTTGAGCAAATTCTTATAGCACTGTCAATGGGATAATGGTTTAGGTAAATACAGAAATGCAATGGCTTTTTAAAAAAAAAACTGAATTGCAATTGACTGCAAATATTACATGGACGGTTATATTGGCGAAACGCTATGCCATATGACATATTGTTCAAGAGTTGTTGCAAAATATATTCGCAAATATATTTTATAAAACTCTGCATTACAACAAGAAGATTTTGCATTATTTTCTTGGAATTGAATGCAAGTTTAACTGCAACAACACATGTAGTTCAGCACCACGGATAGCGACTAACACACTGATTTCAAATAAACAACCAAACTTTAAAGCAATGTAAAAACCATCAGCAAATTAATATCAAGCTACAAACTGAATAACCATCATTGCTGTTCTTGATAAACATTCTCTCTTAAATGAAAAGGAGAGTCTGTGTAAATGCCGCCCATGTTAGCAAACACGTCTCTAAAGTGACTTAAAAACACGTGATCTCATAGCCATTTTCTCTATAAACAGAACATGTGCAGCAACGCTTTTATGTATTTAATGTCTTACCTTGTCTGTGTTGGGTAAAGTCTGAGTTCTGGTAAAAGTGTCTCCTCCGTTAATACTGATCAGTTCACCATCTACAGGCGGAAACGGTCCGGGGAAAACCACTACGTCACTCTTCATTGTGTCTGAGCTGAAACACACGTCGTACTGCTGAGTAGATTTAGAGTAAGACCAGCTCCCGTCAGGGTGGGTGGTGATCATTGGGGCGCTGTACCTGCTGAAACTGCCGTCTGTCCTGTGGCATTTGACAGCTATTAAACTGATGAGGCTCAGCAGAAAGATCACTGACACCGACACAATGGCGATCAGCAGATACAGGTTAAAATCTGAGAAGCTCTCCTCCTTTGTGGGCACATGTCTGAACTGAGTCTGGATGTCAGCTGTGCTTTCAACCACCACCACATCAATAGACACAGTAGCTGACAGGGAGGGTTCTCCGTTATCAGAAACCAACACCACCAAGGGGTGAGTTTTCAGGTCATTGTCACTCATTCTCCTTTTAGTCCTGATTTCTCCGCTGCTGGTTCCGATCCGGAAGAGGTTGTTTCCTTTGGGCTCAGAGAGGTGATAAGAAAGCAGCGCATTGTATCCAGAGTCTGCGTCTACAGCCCTGATCTTTGCCACAAAGTATCCCGCCTCAGCAGAATAGGGGATGCTCTCACTGTTAACGGAGCCATGCTCAGAATAGGGCGCGAGAATAGTTGGATTATTGTCATTTTCATCCAGAATTAAAACGTTCACAGTCACGTTGCTGCTGAGAGGAGGAACACCAGAGTCTGTGGCCTGGACTTTAAACTGAAACGTGTTTAACTCCTCATAGTTAAAAGACTGCAGGCTGACTATATCTCCAGTCTCTGAGTTTATGTTCACCATTATAGAGAGAGGCAACGAGTTACTGTTACTTTGTAAAATGGAATAGCTCACCTGACCATTTTGATTGTTGTCTGCATCAATGGCTGAAACGGTTTTTATAACTGCTCCTACCGGACTGTTTTCTTTCACATATACATTGATTATGTTTTCTGTGAATAGAGGTTTATTATCATTTACATCTGAGACGTGCACATTAATAACGCTCGTGCTGGAGAGAGGTGGGCTGCCCTCATCAGTAGCAGTGATACTGATGTTGTATTGAGACGCACTCTCTCTGTCGAGAGGACCGTCCACCACCAACGAATAGTAATTCTTGTAATTAGACTCTAATTTAAAAGGAACATTATTGGACATTTTACAGTTCACTATCCCATTTTTACCTCCGTCTTTATCAAATACTGAAACAAGTGCAATGGCGGTGCCTAGGGCTGCATCCTCCTTCACGGTGTTTAACAGAGAAGTCACTGAAATGTGAGGGGCATTGTCATTGACGTCTAAAACTTCAATCAATAATTTTGCATGTGAGGTCATCGGTGAGGAAGCTCCGTCACTTGCTTGTACTCGAATCTCAAAAGCATTGTTCTCTTCAAAGTCTATAGTGTTCTTGTTTACTATAGTCCCAGTTTTTTCATCTATAGCAAACAGATCCGTTTTGGTCAAACGGTCTATTTTACTTAATGAGTACACTATTTTCCCATTTTGGCCTGGATCTAAGTCAGTAGCATTCAGTGTTATTATCGATGTTCCAATCTTGGCGTTCTCATACACACTAGCTTTGTACAGAGTTTGACTGAATACAGGAGCGTTATCATTAATGTCCAAAATATTCACTATTATGACCATTGTGCCAGATTTAGCTGGAGTTCCTCCATCAATAGCAGTCAGTATGAGTCGAATCAAGGATTGTTTTTCACTGTCTAAAACTTTCTGAAGCAGTAATTCAACAGATATACTATCTCCTTTATGTGTAGCGAGAGAGAAATGTTCATTGTGGCTAAGCTTGTAGCTATTAACAGTATTTTGACCAACATCTGCATCGTGAGCCTTTTGCAATGGGAATTTAGCCGCTGCAGCTGTGTTCTCAGTTATGTTAATTTCCTGTGACTGAGCTGAGAAATGACGGTGAATTATCATTCACGTCTAAGATTATGATTTCAATCCGGTACAGTTTTAAAGGGTTATTAATGACTGCTTCTACACTGAGGGAACATTTGTTCTCGTCGCCGCAGAGCTCCTCTCTGTCTATTCTCTCGTTAACGTACAGGGCACCAGTCTTTAGATTTACCTCGAAGTATTTCCTCTTAGATCCTGCAACGATCTGAAACATGCGGGGCTCCAAATCCTGAACATTGATGTTCAGATCTTTAGCGATATTTCCGACAACAGTCCCCAGATTGACCTCCTCTGAGACGGAGTAAGACAGCTGCCCAGACACCGCTTCCCAGAAACACTCCAGCAGCACGACCAGGAGATATATCCAGCTCGTTCTGCTCGGCAAATTCATTATTCCATACATCGAGAAGGAGCATGTAGGCAATTCTCAACAGTACGTAACAGCAACTATGAAAAAAAGATCCAGGAAGATATTTCCAACAAATATTACGGCATTTCCACGACCAAACAAGACAACCGCTCTTTGTCGTCCGACCTCTCTCTGTAACAAAGCCCAGAGATGGATCATCCGCTGAATCTGGGAGGAGCCCCGAGCCACATAGAGACCGTCAAGATGTGATGGTCTACAGTGTCCCCCTGTGGACCGATTTTAAAACTACACCTCAAATCAAACATAAAACAATTGTAAATGTGTGAACATTCTCAATGTTCGTCAAGAGATTGCAAAAAATAGAGACTCAAATATTAAACTACAACGTTCACCCCACTGATAACTGACATGTATATTGTATGAATTAAGTGGGTTTTTTTTCTAAAACGGCCTATTTTTAAATATTAACTGAAGTTTTAAGCAAATCCTTATAGCACTGTCAATGAGATAATGGTTTAGGTAAATACAGAAATGCAATTACTTTTTTTTACAACTGAATTGCAATTGACTGCAAATATTACATGGACGGTTATATTGGAGAAACAGTGTTCCATATGACATATTGTTCAAAAGTTGTTGCAAAATATATTCGTAAATATACTTTAAAAACCTTTGCATTACAACAAGAAGATTTTGCATTATTTTCTTGGAATTGAAGGTAAGTTTAACTGCAACAACACATGTAGTTCAGCACCACGGATAGCGACTAACACACTGATTGCAAATCAACAACCGAACTTTACAGCAATGTAAAAACTATCAACAAATTAATATCAAGCTACAAACTGAATAACCATTATTGTTGTTCTTGATATACATTCCCTCTTAAATGAAAAGGAGAGTCTGTGTAAATGCCACCCATCACCGTTAGCAAACACGTCTCAAAACGGACTTAAAAACACGTGATCTCGTAGCCATTTTCTCTATAAACAGAACATGTGCAGCAACGCTTTTATGTATTTAATTTCTTACCTTGTCTGTGTTGGGTAAAGTCTGAGTTCTGGTAAAAGTGTCTCCTCCGTTAATACTGATCAGTTCACCATCTACAGGCGGAAACGGTCCGGGGAAAACCACTACGTCACTCTTCATTGTGTCTGAGCTGAAACACACGTCGTACTGCTGAGTAGATTTAGAGTAAGACCAGCTCCCGTCAGGGTGGGTGGTGATCATTGGGGCGCTGTACCTGCTGAAACTGCCGTCTGTCCTGTGGCATTTGACAGCTATTAAACTGATGAGGCTCAGCAGAAAGATCACTGACACCGACACAATGGCGATCAGCAGATACAGGTTCAAATCAGAGAAGCTCTCCTCCTTTGTGGGCACATGTCTGAACTGAGTCTGGATGTCAGCTGTGCTTTCAACCACCACCACATCAATAGAGACAGTAGCTGACAGGGAGGGTTCTCCGTTATCAGAAACCAACACCACCAAGGGGTGAGTTTTCAGGTCATTGTCACTCATTCTCCTCTTAGTCCTGATTTCTCCGCTACTGCTTCCGATCCGGAAGAGGTTGTTTCCTTTGGGCTCAGAGAGGTGATAAGAAAGCAGCGCATTGTATCCAGAGTCTGCGTCTACAGCCCTGATCTTTGCCACAAAGTATCCCGCCTCAGCAGAATAGGGGATGCTCTCACTGTTAACGGAGCCATGCTCAGAATAGGGCGCGAGGACTGTTGGATTATTGTCATTTTCATCCAGAATTAAAACGTTCACAGTCACGTTGCTGCTGAGAGGAGGAACACCAGAGTCTGTGGCCTGGACTTTAAACTGAAACGTTTTTAACTCCTCATAGTTAAAAGAGTGCAGGCTGACTATATCTCCAGTCTCTGAGTTGATGTTCAACATTGTAGATAACGGGACTGAGTCCCTTTTACTTTGCAAAAAGGAATAGCTCACCTGGCCATTTTGACTGATATCGACATCAACTGCAGTCACTGTTTTAATTACTGCTCCTACTGGACTGTTTTCTTTCACATAAATATTAACGAACGGCTCTGAGAAGTGAGGCGGGTTATCATTAACATCAGACACATGCACTGTCACTATGTTGGTGCTGGAGAGAGGCGGAGTCCCTCCATCAGTCGCAACAATAACGACATTGTACTCGGATATAGTCTCTCTGTCAAACGGACCATTAACTACCAACGAATAATAGTTTTTGTAATTTGTGTCTAATTTAAAGGGGGCATCATTTGCAAGGACTGCCTTTACTTCACCGTTTTTCCCACCATCTTTGTCCAGCACAGAAACAAGTGCTATAGCAGTTCCTACCCCTGCGTCCTCCTTCACAGTGTTTAGTAGTGACGTCACCGTGATCTCAGGAGCGTTATCATTTAGGTCCACTACTTCTACCAGCACCTTACAATGAGCAGACATTGGAGGATGCCCTTTGTCACTGGCCTGTGCGTGAATCTCAAAGGCAGGATTTTCTTCATAGTCGATCTTACCTCTCACAAAAATTGCACCTGATTTAGAATCAATTTCAAATAACTCTAAAATGTGATCCTGGCCTTTACTTCTCAATGAATATTCAATGTCAGCATTTAATCCCTCATCTGCGTCTGTTGCATTAAGAGTGATCACAGTATACCCTGCTTGTAGGTTTTCAAACATTTTAACTTTGTAGAGGTTTTTACTAAACACCGGGTGGTTGTCGTTACTATCCAAAACGTTGATAATGATTTGTGAGGTTCCCGATCTGGATGGATTTCCTCCATCCACTGCCGTTAGTGTGAGTTTTATTACAGAGTCATGTTCTCGATCCAAGGATTTCTGCAGTACTAACTCAGCTGATACGCTATCTCCCCCTTTGTGAATGTCTAAAGAAAAATAATCATTGTTACTGAGCTTGTATGTAGTAACACCGTTCTTTCCAACATCTGAATCAGATGCCTCTATCAATCCAAATTTCACTCCCGGTAAAGTACTTTCGGCAATGTTAAGTGACTGCAATTGCTCAGAGAAAACAGGTGCATTGTCATTCATATCGACTATGTTTACCTCGAAACGGTAAAGCTTCAGTGGGTCATTTATCACGGCTTCTACATCGACAGTACATTTTGCAGCCTTCGCACAAAGCTCTTCACGGTCTATTCTTTCGCTGACATAAAGAACACCAGTTTTTACATTTACGTCGAAATATTTTCTCTTTGTTCCGGCAACGATCTGAAACATACGAGACTCTAAATCCTGGACATTTAGATTTAGATCCTTGGCGATATTTCCAACAGAAGCCCCCGGGTTTACCTCCTCTGATATGGAATAGGAGAGCTGTCCATTCACTGCTTCCCAGCAATAATTAAGCAGCATGACCGCAACATATATCCAAAAAAGCCTCGTTCTGCTTGAGAAATCCATGATTGCTACCAACCGAGAAAAATAATAAGTCCAAGTCAAATCACTCCCGTAAAACAACTATATTAAAATCGAAGTACACATCCAATTCTTCCAATTTGATCGGGCAACTGGAACATGTTTTCACCATTTCCTCTCTCGCCCTGCGTCTCGTAACAAAGCCCGGAGAACATGACCATCATCCTCTGTTTCTGGGAGGAGTCTTGTATATCCTAATCTAACGTACACATGTCACGGTCTTCACTGTCCCCATGTGGTGACGAGAAATAACTGCATTCAAACTGACAGACACAATGGAAATTATTTAACAACTAAGCTAAAGGAGCATTTTAATATCAATAATGATATGTTTAAGTATTTCAAACAATCACAATTTATGCATTTTGACTAATCTTTATACTTTTTCTTTTTGTGTTCTCTTTATTGCTTTTCTGTTTTATCCAAACCAATAGAGATTAATTGATATGCCAGCTAGATTGAGGCAACCATAAAGAAATGACAGGAAACTAGGAGTAAAACAAAACAACACACTGAAGATACATACATAATTGTAACTGGTTGTTCTTAATACAAATTGCAATAGTTCCCTATTTTGTAAAATAAAACGGCAAAGGAAACAGGCGTACGAAATGTAAATTATGATATCTTCCCAAACTGTTATGAGACGGGGTAAACACCCTTCATGTTTAAATACTGAGATTTCTTAAACGAATATGCAAATAGATGCGGCGAGAAACGAACCTATCCTCTTTCCATTGGACACATGTTACATGCTGCATTTCCTGACCCCACACAGCACTAGGGTGCTATTCTAGCACCACGGACAGCGGTGAACTCTTATTTGGAAACGTTAGGATTTATGACATTTATAAACTTTCATTGTCACTCTAATTTATGTTACAACTGAGATTTTCTAAAAAAGTCCAAAGCAAAACCCACATTCATGAATACAGCGTGGGAAAGTATCGACAAGTCATTTAACTTCACATACAATAAATATAAACACGAAGCCTTTTCAGCCTCATCTTTCGAGAGTTATTGCATGAATATCTTTTTATATTTTGTTTCTTACCTTGTCTTGGTTGGGTAAAGTCTGAGTTCTGGTAAAAGTGTCCCCTCCGTTAATACTGATCAGTTCACCATCTACAGGCGGAAACGGTCCAGGGAAAACCACTACGTCACTCTTCATTGTGTCTGAGCTGAAACACACGTCGTACTGCTGAGTAGATTTAGAGTAAGACCAGCTCCCGTCAGGGTGGGTGGTGATCATTGGGGCACTATACTTGCTGAAACTGCCGTCTGTCCTGTGGCATTTGACAGCTATTAAACTGATGAGGCTCAGCAGGAAGATCACCGACACCGACACAATGGCGATCAGCAGATACAGGTTCAAATCAGAGAAACTCTCCTCCTTTGTGGGCACATGTCTGAACTGGGTCTGGATGTCAGCTGTGCTTTCAACCACCACCACATCAATAGACACAGTAGCTGACAGGGAGGGTTCTCCGTTATCAGAAACCAACACCACCAAGGGGTGAGTTTTCAGGTCATTGTCACTCATTCTCCTCTTAGTCCTGATTTCTCCGCTACTGGTTCCAATCCGGAAGAGG